CCGCTCCGCCCCGACGTTGCTGGAATGGCCGATGTAGCGCTCTCGCCCTCCCAAGTGCTCTTGCCAGAAGCTCTCTCTGCTCTGCCTGGAGGGTGCTGGCGATCCCAGACCAGCCACAGCCCGTGGCGCTGTGGTCCCCCCCCCTGGGTGCACCCCTCGTTCCCGATGCCCCCTCTCGAGATCGTCGATGCGATGGGCCCTCCCAGGGCCCCTGGGCAGACACGCTGCTCCCCCCTCCTGCTCCGGGTCGTGGCTGGCCGGCCGGGCCCTCGCCTGCTCAGCAGCTGCCGGCAGATCTCGCCTCCCCGGGCCCCGCCCCGCTCCGCCGTGAGCGAGCCAGGCTTCCTCGGCCGTCGCCGCCGTCGCCGTCGCCGCTGGCGCCGCCGGGGCGCCGCTACGACGCCGACGCAGAAGCCGCCGCCGCCATCGCAGCCGCCGTCGTCGTCGTCGTCGCCGTCGCCGCCGCCGCCGTCGCCGCCGTCGCCGTCGCCGTCGCTGTCACCGTCGTCGTCGTCGCCGTCGCCGTCGCCGTCGTCGTCGTCGCCGTCGCCGTCGCCGTCGCCGTCGCCGTCGCCGTCGCCGTCGTCGTCGCCGTCGTCGCCTCGCCTCGGGGAGGCGGCGGGCTTCGTGCCCGCGGGCGGCGCCCCCTCGGGCGGCTGCTGGTGGGAGCAGGCGCAGGCCGACGACGTCGGCGGAGGCGGCCCGCGGGGAAGGCGAGGGGAGACGGGGAGCGGCCGGGTGGAGGCGAGAGGGGGATGGAGGACTAATCGGGGGAGCGTAAGACCCGGGTTTGCCAGGACTCGGGTTCGCCATCGTTTTTTGACGACTGCGACTCGGATTTTGACGAGGAGGAGTTTCGTGGGATGTCTGCAGCGGGAGGCCTCGTCAAAATGCAGGCTCGGCCTCGTCATTTTTTTGACGACCTCGTCGGGGATTTCCGAGTCCCCCGTACCCGGGTCTTACGTCTTAGTGCCCGTACCGCTGCCATTTCCTCGTTTTCCGCTTGTCGGGCCTCCTGGGAGGCCCTCGTCGCCACCGCTGGGTTCGCCTCGAACTTTTGGCCAGAACGCACCCCAGGAGAGGTCTGGGGAGTGATTAGCGGTATTGGTACCTTTCGGTTCCCCCAGAGGGGGGGAGGAGAAGGAGGTGCGGGCTTCAATTATATAAACATATCTATACATGTACACACCATCACCTTTCTTCCCCCTCCCTCCTCTGCCCTCCTCTTCCTCTCCTGCTTCTTGGGGGAGGGAGGGGGCAGGGGAGGCGGTGGTGTTGTATATGGTTGGGCCCCGTAGGAGGAGGAGGGAGGAGGGGTGGGGAGGGGGAGAAGGAGGTATTCGAAGAACAGAAAAGGCATTGACATAATTTCTTGGAGGTCCGCGCAGATTTCTCGGATCGGTGTTGGTCCCCCCTGGCGGCGCCTCTGGCGCCGCCCCTGGCGCGCTCCGCGCGCCAGGGAGAGGGGTCCAGCGCCGATACAAGAAATCCGCGTGGAGCTCCGAAAGTTTATGTCTATGCAGTTTGTTCTTCCTCTCGAGGAGGGAGAGAAGAATGTTCAGGTAAGAGGAGGCCGATTGCGAAGCCAGCTCGATAGAAGTTTTGAAGACCTGCCCGCCTCTTCATCTGCATTGAGTGCGGGCAAGACTTGTCCCCATATCCATTGCAGCTTGGAGGCTCGGGCTCCCTTCCCCAGAAACCCGAGGCGCACCGGATGCGGATGAACAACTGGCTCCCAGAGGCTCGATCTTTCTCCATGTTTGGTGCGCCTCGGCCCTGCGGCGTCCCTTCCAAGAGAGTCCGAGACGCACTGGATATGAGCGGCGCCACAAAACGGGGTCGTTTCGTTGCATCTTCGGGGGACCTCGCCTGTCCCCCAAATTGGTGTCTTTTCTTGTGCCCGACGCGGGCTCGATGCGGACTCGACGCGGATTTGGCGTAGATTCGACGCGGATTCGACACGGATCCAGCGAGGCCGACATGGATTCGACACGGATTCGACGCGGATAGGGCCGCGACGGGACAGACAAGGTCCCCCGAGGATGCAACATAAGGGTCGTCTGTGCCGACATTAGCGCGTAAGCTGCCCGCGCAAGGTCGCGCGTAGGTGCCCTCGCTGCAGATGTGGCGGGCCGCGCGGGCGGCTCGCGTAGGCCGCCGCGTACTGTCGCTACGTCATCTCGCGTAAGACCCGTTCTCGAGTGTCGCTCTTCTGTCGGGGGTGGACAGACCTCCTACCCTGACACGTCGATTAGTGAATTGTCCGTATTCGGTTCTCGAGAGGGCGCCGCGGCCGTTATTTTCCAGGCTTGCGCCGGCCAGGTTTGGGCCCGAGGTCGTTTTCACTAAACCACGTTTTACTAAAGGGAGGTCTGTCCATCCCCGATTCTGGACATCGGCGGCGAGCGAGGGGGGAAGTGAGAAGGAAAAGGCCATCTCAGAAGGCTTGGAAGTCCCCCCTTCTGATAGGCTTTCTGAGCCTTCCCCGAAGGCGCAGAGCAATTCTCGCAGAAGGCGCGAGGGCTTCTGAGAAGCACCGCCGCCTTGTGAGAAGGCCTGCTCCTTCTCGTTTCTCCCCTCGCTCGCCGCCGAGGATAGTAAGGATAGGCAATCTTCCCAAGGGTACCCTTACATCCTTGCCTCCTAGGTCCATCCTTGGCCGCTTTCGCTGGCCAGCCTCGTTCGAAAAACGTTGACGTGGCTCTCCAATGCATGCCCTTGCATCCTCACCTTGCATCCTCATGATACGGGTTGACTGTAGTGGTGGATCGGCCCACGGGGACGAAACTTTTGAGGTTGAAGGTGTTCGGGTGTCTCGTCGACTCTCGGCGGCTTTCCAGCCTCGGTGTGCGCGTTCCAGCAGCTCGCTCGCTCGCTCGCCGCCGAGGATCTGAACACTGCCCGCGCTGTGAGCTTTGGGCGTGAGGCCTCCGGGGGCTCCCTCGCTGTGCGGAGCCCGCGCCTGGCCCCCCCCCCCGCGCGGGGGGCCAGAATGGGGGGGGGGGGGGGGGCGCGCCCGCGCCGGCGGGGCGGACCGCGGGCGCGCGCAGCGCCGGAGGAGGTGGTCAGCCACGCGCAGAGGGGGGTAGTCAGGGGGAGGGGGGAAGGCCTCTCGGAAGCACCCCTGCTCCTTAGCAGGCGCGAGCCTTCTCTGCAGACGTGAGGCGGGCGCCTTCTAAGAAGCAGCCCCCTTCTAAGAAGCCTTCCCCCCTCCGCCATACCCCCTCTGCGCGCCGCCAAGGTGGATGGGGTTGTGCGTAGGACGACGAGCGTGGAGGGAGGAGGGTCACTGATCAAACTGCCAGGTCTGCAGGAGGAGGAGGAGGAGGGCGGATGAGAGGAACGAGGAGGAAGGAGGCAGGAGGAAGGAGGGGGGAGGAGGTAAGCGACGAGCCTGGATGAGGGGAAAGGAGTCAAGCAGTGGCGAAGCGTCTTGGCTTGCCTATAGGCCTACCAAATAACTCGAGTAAGCGATTAAGGACCCCCCCCCCCTCTCCGGTGAAAGGATAACGCACCCGGCACCCGGAAGCGTTATCCTGGCACCAGGAGGGGGTATCCTTAGCTTTCCTCAGCTTTTCTCAGTTGTTTCTTAGCTTTTCTAAGCTTTTCCTTAGCTTTTCTCAGCTTTTCCTTATTCGCATTCGTATTCTTATTCTCATTACAATTCTAATTGGGATGCCACCCGAGGCGGGGCGCTGGAATTATTTATTTTCCTTCCATTTGCGCGGTGCTAATAATATCGCTCGGCGAAACCCCCCCCAAATAATTATTTAATTACGGCGCGGTGCTAATGATAACGCCGGGGGGGTCCTTAATTGTTTCTCCGGGTTAATGTTCTAAGAATCGTGTGTGGTCTGCACGAACTGTTCTTACAACATTTCTGGCTGAGACTGTGTTGTGTCATCACATCGGGATCCTGTTCTAAGAACATTGTTTTGTTCTAAGAACATTCTGGGTTCTCAGAACACGTCGTGGTAGGCCTATAGGAATGCCGGGACGGTCGGTCCCTGCTCAAAGGAGGAGGAGGAGGAGGAGGAGGAGGAGGAGGAGGAGGAGGAGGAGGAGGAGGGGGGGAGGAGGAGGAGGAGGAGGAGGAGGAGGAGGGGAGAAGGAGGAGGAGAAGGGGGGGGAGGAGGAGGAGGAGGAGAGGAGAGGAGGCGGAGGAGGAGGAGGGAGGAGGAGGAGAGCAGGAGGAGGAGGAGCAGCAGGAGAAGAGGGAGGAGGAGGAGGAGGAGAAGGAGGAGGGGAGGAGGAGGAGGAGGACGAGGAGGGGGTGGCAGCGAAAAAGTGTGCAGAGGACGAGCGCTGGAGGATGATGAGAAAGAGGAGGCGGAGGAGGAGGAGGAGGAGGAGGAGGAGGAGGAGGAGGACGACGATGAGGAAGCGTACAATGTGGCGGCAGGAAGGAGGGGAGGAGGAGGAGGAGGAGGAGAGGAGGAGGGAGGAGGAGAATGAGGAGGAGCAGGAGCAGGGAGCAGGAGCAGGAGGAGGAGGAGGAGGAGGAAGAGGAGGAGGATGAGGAAGAGGAGGAGGAGGAGGAGGGGGAGGAGGAGGAGGAGGAGGAGGAGGAGGAGGAGGAGGAGGAGGAGGAGGAGCAGCAGGAGGAGGAGCAGCAGGAGGAGGAAGAGGAGCAGCAGGAGGCGGAGGAGGAGGAGAGGAGGAGGAGGAGGAGGAGGAGGAGGGGGGTACGGGGAGGAGGAGGAGGAGGGGGTGGCGGCGAAGAAGTGTGCAGAGGACGAGCGCTGGAGGATGATGAGAAAGAGGAGGAGGAGGAGGAGGAGGAGGAGGAGGAGGAGGAGGAGGAATCGTAACAATGTGGCGGCAGGAAGGAGGAGGAGGAGGAAGAGGAGGAGGATGAGGAGGAGGAGGAGGAAGAGGAGGAGGAGGAGGAGGAGGAGGAGGAGGAGGAGGGGGGTACGGGGAGGAGGGCGAGGAGCCTGAGGAGGGGAGGCAGTGGAGACGTGTGCGGAGGCCGACCAGCGTTGGAGGAGGGGGCGAAGGACGAGGAGGACAGTACGCAGGATCGACTATGTAGCGCCAGGGCGCCTGCAGCTTGGGAGCGGAGATATACTGCCATACGTCGTCTCTCCCAAACTCCCTCATGAATACCTTCAGGCACTTCTTCTCACCATGGGAATCGCCTCCCGAAAGACGACCGTCCCATTGGGCATGCCAGTCAGGCAAAACACCCGTTCTGGAACGAAGATGTATATGTGTATTGGAAAGGCACCGCCCTGCGTTTTTTTGTAAGTGTAGCACGACGTTCGATTCTTGATATGAGCTTCAGCGATGGTCGAGCGATGGCCCCATTTTGAGAAGGAACCGCCCTCTCCGCATAGTCGCACGACTGCATGTCTGGCTGCATCTCATGGACACGTCTCAAGCTATAATGCCGCTTTGAAACAAGAAGCACCCTCCATCCCTGCAGCTGTTGGGCATTTTGATCGAGGCGCTCAGGCGAGAACGCCACTTTGAGCAGGCAACGCCCTTCATCCATGTAGCAGCCGATGACTTGAAGGCGAATGTGCGCTGCGCTCAGGCGAGCACAGCATTTCGAACACCACCATTCCTCCGTCTTTGAATCTGCTGGCGTTTTTTAGAAGAGTGCGCGCGGTGCCAAGGCGAGAGCCACGTTTTGACAGCCATTCGCCCCCCATCCTTGTTACTGGTTGGGAACTTTGTATGGCGAGTGCGCGTGGGGCGAAGGCGATACTTAACATTTGCACATTACCCGCACTCTGCACGCGTATCTCATCGGAGTTCCAAACTTCAGGGTCATCAGCGGCAAGGACAGCGGTCATTCTACACCGTGTTTCGCCGATTTGGCAGGCCGTCTTCGTTTCGATGCCGTTTTGCAGCAGAGGCGGGTTGACGACAAAACGATGGACAACGAACAACACAACGCAAACTAAACATATGGTTTAGGTCGATCCTTGAGGAAGGCCCGCCCTGCCCAACTTATCCCCACGCCAGGTGGCGCGACGGGGAGGAGCAGGCGGAGTAACGCGTGCTCCAATCTGCCAAACGTGATGACGTGGGAGGGGGAGGGGGAGGGGTTGGGGGCAAGATATGTGCGCTCGCGTCATATCTGACGTCCTTCCCCTCCCTCCCATGCCTTACCATGGCGTTGATTTTCTCTATCCGCGGACGCGTGTCGTAGCGGACCTGTGGCTCCGCGCGCGCGTGCGTAGTGGGTGGTGGTGCGCGTGCGTGTGTGTGTGTGTGTGGTTGTGGTTGTGGTGGTGGTGGTGGTGGTGGTGGTGGTGGTGGGTGGTGGTGGTGGTGGTGGTGGTGGTGGTGTGTGTGCGTGTGTGCGTGTGTGCGCGTGTGCTGTGGTGTGACGTGGTGTGGCGTCTTGGTGGTTTGGTGGTGGGCCAGGTGCGTGCGTGCGTGATGGCGGTGGTGGTGGTGGTGGCGGTGGTGGTGGTGTGTGAGCGTGTGTGTGTGTGTGTATGTATGTGTGTGTGTGCGTGTATGTGTGTGTGTGTGTGCGTGCGTGCGTGCGTGCGTGCGTGCGTGCGTGCGTGCGTACGTGCGTGTGTGTCTGTGTGCGCGCGCGTGTGATGTGGTGTGACGCGGTGTAGCGTGGTGGGGTAGTGGGATGGTGGTGGCGGTGCGAGGTGGCGGTGCGCCTGCGTGCGTGCGTGCGTGCGTTGGTGTGTGGAAGTGGCGGTTGGCGGGGCGGGGCGCGGTGCGGTGGTGGCGGGCGGATGGGCGCGCGAGAAAGAGGCCCGCGCTGAGGCGAGAACGCCATCCTGAACGACGCAGACAAAACACCGATCCGAAAATGAGGCCCACGCTGCAGCGGGAGCAGGATTCGGAAAGAACGGAAGCCCGAAAATGAGGCCGGCGCCCCAGCGAGAGCAGCATTTTGAACAAAAACCCAAACGAAAACCCAATTCCGGCAAATCATGTGTGTTAAAAACAGTACGCGGAGGGGTGCCCGCCATCTTTCGCACGCCACCAGGGGAAGGAGGAGAGTGTATTCATATTGAGTAGCTGTGGAGGAGGAGGAGATTTTCTGAAGCATCAGCAAGAGGCAGGGAGGGATGAGCGGAGGAGAGGACGGGGAAGGAGAGGACAGGGAAGAAACCGTGGAAACAGCCAGCAAGGCGATGAGGATTGGTGATCGTTTTCTTCTTATTATTTTGCCGATCAGCGCGGGCCCTCGCACCCCCCCCCCTCCCTCCTACGGAGTAGATCTTGACTGTTTTGGGCGCCTGTTTCACGCATGTGGAGTCTCTCCCCCGCCATAGGACGCACTGTTGTTGCAAGCGGTCGCATTCAGCAGAGGTCCGGAGCCAGACCCCCACCCTCCCCCCCCTACCCCCGCCCAATGCCGAAACGCCGAATGAGGAAACGTTCGCGCTGGAGGAGGCCGAGGAGGAGGGGGAGGAGGACTCCTCCAGCCCCCCCCCCCCGCGAGAAGGCCGGGCCGGGCAGCGGAGGATCTCGCAGCGGGCCTCCAGGGAGTGGGCCGAGGGCGCCGGCCTCGACGAGGAGCGGCACCGCCGGCGCGGGCCCCCCAGGGGCGGGACAGAGGGGGGACCGGGGGAGACGAGGCAAGGCACGAGTGCGGCCGCGGCGAGCCCAGTCGTCTTGTCACGGTGGCGCAGAGGCGGGCTGCGGCAGAGAGAGGCAGGACTGAAGGACGTCCAGAGAGCAGTTGCGTCGGCCTGTTGCCAGAGCTGGAACGCGCCCTCGCTGCGCTGCGCTGCTCCCGATCGGCCCGAAGGCCGTGCCAATTCAGAACTCGGGGGAAGAATCTTGGCCCGTGCCTCCAGCACCCAGCACCCGGGCGATTATCAGGCGATCGCAAACAAGGAGCTAGGGGGCGTGGATTAGCGACGGGCCCCGTTTCCATGGGAAAGTGCCCATTTCCGCCGCCGGACGAAGCGGCACCGGCCGCATTTTGGGGGAGGGCACCTCCCCCGATCCATGGATTCGGCGACCGCGCGCCGAATCCATGGATCGCTAATCCATGTTTGCGCGCCCCCGAACCCAGGCGATTATGCTTACGTCGGGCCTGTCCCTCTACAGGAGGAATATTCAAAAGTATTAAAAATAGTCGGGGGACGATGTTTCGAATATTCTTGGGCCGTTTGGGGGTATTTTTGGTATGTCTGGTATTTTTCGCCCCAAATCCCCGTGCAGGAGGACATGCCCGACCTAATTCTGGACGCCCGAAATGGGCACGGAACGAATAGGTACAATACCCAACAGCATTTCTGGTTCATTTTGAACAGGACTCGCTGTCCACGCCGCCGCGGCCTGTGTCAATTCGAGCCAGAAGGCCGCCTGCCCAACAGCGGCCGCTGTTGGTTTTGGACAACATGTGCTGTTGGGCATAGGACCCATTCATTCCGTATACCCATTTCGGGCGTCCAAAAAGGGTACCCCATTAGAATTTTTGTTTGGGCCATTTGGGGGTATTCTTGGTCTATTTTGTATTTTTCGCCCCAAATCCCCGTGCAGGATGACATGCCCGACCTAAGATTATGCTGGTTTCGAGTCGCGGGATTTCGAGCCAGCACCGCGCGGAGCGCGTGCAAGCGAGAGAGCGCACCCGCCAGGCAGGGGGGGACCAGGCCGCCAGGGGGCGTCGCGGCCAGAGCACGGCAGCGCCTCGCGTTCACGAGTGGCTGCCCCTGCCCGTTAGTAAATCGGGCATGCTTTTCTGCATGTGAGCGTTTTCTTATGCATTCTTTTGCCGATCGGCGCGGGCCCTCGCACCCGACCCTCCTCCCTCCCCGCAGTGGAGCAGACCTTGGCTGTTCTTGGCGCCTGTTTCCAGCAGGTGGGGTCTCCCCCATAGGACGCACAGTTCCAAACAGTCGCGCTAGGCAGAGGTCCAGAGCCAGACCCCCCCCCTGCCCCCCTTCCGCCCAGTGTCGAAACGCCAAATTAAGAAACGTTCTCCATAGGGGAACGAAGAATGACAGGAACACATTCACTCGGAGGTCCGCGCGGATTTTTCAGATCGGCGCTGGACCTCCTTCCTGGCGCGCGGAGCGCGCCAGGGGTGGCGCAGGACGCGCCGCCGGGGGGAATCAGCGCGGATCCGAGAAATCCGCACGGAATTCCGAGTTTACCTAACAGCTTTTGTTGATAGGTTTCTAGTGGGATCAAAAGAGAGCATCTTGACGCCCCAGGTGGGTCTGGGCTGGATCCGGACAAGGAACCGGACAAAAGTGCAGCCCCAGGAATCCTTAGGAATCCTTGGGGATTCTTAGGAATCCTTAGGAATCCATTCCCAGAACACCATTCCCAGGCCACATTTTGAATGCCTGGAGCCAACTGTAGGCCACTTCGTGTTCTTCGTGTTCCCAGAACACCATTCCCAGGCCACATTTTGAATGCCCGGAGCCAACTGTAGGCCACTTCGTGTTCTTCGTGCTCCCAGAACACCATTTCCAGGCCACATGTTGAATGCCCTAAGCCAACTGTAGGCAACTTCGTGTTCTTCGTCTTCCCAGAACACAATTCTCAGGCCACAGTTTGAATGCCCTAAGCCAACTGTAGGCCACTTCGTGCTCTTCGTGTTCCCAGAACACCATTCCTGTACCATATTTCGATTGCCCAGAGCCAACTGTGGGCCACTTCGTGATCTTCGTGTTCCCAGAACACCAGTCCTGTGCTATATTTTGACTGCCCAGAGCCAACTGTGGGCCACTTCTTCATGTTCCCAGAACACCAGTCCTGTGCCATATTTTGAATGCCCGAGCTGAGGCAGGCTGAGGCTGAGGCAGGCTGAGGCCGAGGCAGGCCGAGGCTGAGGCTGAGGCACGCCGGGGCAGGCTGAGGCTGAGGCCGAGGCAGGCTGAGGCTGAGGCAGGCTGAGGCTGAGGCTGAGGCAGGCTGAGGCCGAGGCAGGCTGAAGTTGAGGCTGAGGCAGGCTGAGGCTGAGGCAGGCTGAGACTGAGGCTGAGGCAGGCTGAGGCTGAGGCTGAGGCTGATGCAGGCTGAGGCTGAGAGGCTGACGCTGAGGCTGAGGCAGGCTGAGGCTCAGGCTGAGGCCGAGGCAGGCGGCTCAGGCTGAGGCAGGCTGAGGCAGGCTGAGGCTGAAGCTGATGCAGGCTGAGGCTGAGGCAGGCTGAGGCAGGATGAGGCTGAGGCAGGCTGAGGCTGAGGCAGGCTGTGAGGCTGAGGCTGAGGCGGAGGCTGAGGCCGAGGCTCAGGAGGCTGAGCAGGCTGAGGCTGAGGCAGGCTGAGACTGAGGCTGAGGCAGGCTGAGGCTGAGGCTGAGGCTGATGCAGGCTGAGGCTGAGAGGCTGACGCTGAGGCTGAGGCAGGCTGAGGCTCAGGCTGAGGCCGAGGCAGGCGGCTCAGGCTGAGGCAGGCTGAGGCAGGCTGAGGCTGAAGCTGATGCAGGCTGAGGCTGAGGCTGAGGCAGGCTGAGGCTGAGGCTGAGGCAGGCTGAGGCTGAGGCTGAGGCCGAGGCAGGCTGAGGCTGAGGCCGAGACAAGCCGAGGTAGGCTGAGGCTGAGGCTGAGGCTGATGCTGAGGACGGCTGAGGCTGAGACAGGCTGAGGCTGAGGCTGAGGCAGGCTGAGGCTGAGGCAGGCTGTGGCTGAGGCCGAGGCAGGCTCAGGAGGCTGAGGCAGGCTGAGGCTGAGGCAGGCTGAGACTGAGGCTGAGGCAGGCTGAGGCTGAGGCTGAGGCTGATGCAGGCTGAGGCTGAGAGGCTGACGCTGAGGCTGAGGCAGGCTGAGGCTCAGGCTGAGGCCGAGGCAGGCTGATGCTGAGGCTGAGGCAAGCCGAGGCAGGCTGAGGCTGAGGCTGAAGGCTGAGGCTGAGGCTGAGGCTGAGGCTGAGGCTGAGGCTGAGGCAAGCCGAGGCAGGCTGAGGCTGAGGCAGGCTGTGGCTGAGGCTGAGGCTGAGGCAGGCTGAGGCTGAGGCTGAGGCTGGCTGAGGCTGAGGCTGAGGCCGAGGCAGGCTGAGGCTGAGGCTGAGGCAAGCCGAGGCAGGCTGAGGCTGAGGCTGAAGCTGAGGCAGACTGAGGCTGAGGCTGTGGCTGAGGCTGAGGCAAGCTGCGGCTGAGGCAGGCTGAGGCTGAGGCTGATGCAGGCTGAGGCTGAGGCAGGCTGAGGCTGAGGCTGCGGCAGGCTGAGGCTGAGGCTAAGGCCGAGGCAGGCTGAGGCTGAGGCCGAGGCAAGCCGAGGCAGGCTGAGGCTGAGGCTGAGGCTGATGCTGAGGCAGGCTGAGGCTGAGACAGGCCGAGGCTGAGGCTGAGGCAGGCTGAGGCTGAGGCAGGCTGATGCTGAGGCTGAGACAGGCGAATCCTTCGGAATCCTCAGGATTCCCTAGGAATCCTTAGGAATCCCTAGGAATCCCTAGGAATCAGGACTCCTAAGGATTCCTAAGGTTTCCTAAGGATTCCGATGGATTCCCAAGGATGCCTAAGGATGCCTTAGGATGCCTTAGGAATCCCTAGGAATCCTTAGGATTCCATTGGATCCTAAGGCCGTTGGTCGCCACTGGGACTGTCATTGCGAATGCGACTGCGACTGCGAGAACAGCAGAATTCTACAACTGGATTCTCACCTGAATCATAAGGGGAATGCTTCCAGATATGCTTATACACATCGCTGTTAGGTTGCTTTGTCGGGATACTTTTATGCTTATGCCATTATTTGCTCCCTTGCTACAGGAGGATTATCAAACATATGGCAAAATAGTCGGGCTGGGGACGAATTTTCCATTATTTCCGTTGGGCTATTTCTGGGTATGTGTTGACTTTTTTATGTTCTTCTTCCAAAGTCCGCCTGTAGGCGGATACGCCCGACCTAAGTCTATTCCTCCCCCGTCCCGTTTCGGATTCGGTAGCGCTCTGCGCGGTGCAGGGCCTGCCCACTGGCCTTGGCTGCAAGAGGGCGCCAGCCTCGTCCGCTCGCAGCGTCTAGTCCAGTCCTCCCCCTCCCCCCCTCCTCCTCTCTCCTCTCTCCTCGTTCCCTTCACCTCCTTCTCTCTCCTCCCCTCCTCCTCCCTCCTCCTCCTCCTCCTCCTCCTCCTCCTCCTCCTCCTCCTCCTCCTCCTCCTCCTCCTCAGGGGCTTCCCAGGAGGCCCCACCGCCCTCCCCCTCCCCCTCCCCGCCCCTCCCGCGGACCGTTTCCCAGAGCCCCACCCCAGAGCGACCCGCGGCGCCAGTACTGTCCCTTGGGATGGCCGAGGGGACTCCGAGGCGCGCGCCGCCAGCGGACGCCTGTCAGAGCCCCACATCATCAGGGGTAACTCGGGTCAGGGATAACTCGGGTTCGTTGTTCGGGAATCTGAGCCCGAGTTACCCCGGACCCGAGTTACCCCGGATAACTCGGGCGTCCAGAGCCCCACATCATCAGGGGTATTTCGGGTCAGGGATAATTCGGGTTCGTTTTTCGGGAATCCAAGCCCGAGTTACCCCGGACCCGAGTTACCCCGGATAACTCGGGCGCCCAAACCTGCTGCTGGGGGTCCGGGCAGGCGAACAACCCAGCGTCCCTCGGGTCATGAGAAAACCATGA